CCGTTCATTATCAATTGTTCGATTTGGCTCCAAATATGGAAAGTGAGAGCACAAGGGAGTCACCCTAATCTTAAGTGTGATGGTGTACTTGAATGAATTCTTAAAAGTCTCTAGATTGACTTAGGAAATCTCTTAGATGCCACACATATGTTTGCATTGATCTAAATGAGGGAAAATCCGTATGTGGACAGTTTTGGGTCACCCAGTTTGTAAGCTCGGTTGCGGACAAATATGAACCATTATAGGTTAGTTCTTGGTATCCCATGTGTCTCTTATGGGTCAAGATCATGGAACAAGTCGTGTCTTGACTTAAATCCTCGTGGTTGGACCAGAATCCACATATGTCCATATCGGGCCATTTGAACAGATTTGTGGGCTTGTATTTATTAAGTCTTCACTATTGTGGGCTCTTCGGAAGTTGTTAAATACAAGCCAAGGTGGCTCGGGCATGGGCTGCTTTCTTGGACTCGTGGGCTTTGTCTTTTTGTCCATACTTGCATTCGAGTGAATATGGGAGTTTATCTTTGATTTGTTTGAACTCTTCTTGATTGTTTCTTTTTTTTTAAAGACATGATAAAGAGTTCTCGAGTAAGTTTATGGAACATCTCTTTAACTCCATGTTTTAATGTTGATGTCCGCATCATACTCTTCCTCTTGACAAAGTTTTGTCCTCAAAACCAAGGGATCGTGCATCCAATAGTTACTTAGATTCAACACTCATTGCTTTATCATCAGCAAATGGCAAAATAATGATAATTTGAAAGAGAGCATTTTGACTAGTTATCTTTGGATTGGTGGTAAAGAACAAAAATGAAATGTAAAATATTCTCTAATTTTGTTTTTTCTTTAAAACAGAAGAATCGAAAAAATAAAAAAACAAAAGAAACCAATTTTTTTTTAAAATTTGTTAAATGGAAAGAAACAAACTAAAATTTTTGGAAAGAAAGAAATCATTTTATAGGGTTTTAAAATTTTATAAAATCAAAGAACAAACTGAAAGAGCTAGATTTTTGTGGATTCTTTTTGATAAAAAACTAGAAAAGACAGAATAAAACAAGAAGGGATATGAGTTTTTAACTTTGATACCAAATGATATAAGATTGAAATTCACGCCAAATCTTATTATAATCACAAGATGTCAAGAGTTGACAAGTTAGATGGATCGATGATCACCACGCAAAAGTGTGAAAGCCTTCGTGATGAAATCACAAGCCTAAGTCTAAGTGATTACACACACAAACAAAGACTCACACGAAATAAAGAGTGAGGGAATTTAAAAATCACTCAAAAACTCGCACAAATACAAGAGAAGTGAATCCACACAACTAAAAGTAAACAAGTACACAAATAAACAAACTTTTGTATGAAGTACTAAAACGTTTTTTTAGTAATGAATTTGTGTGTATTACAAGAGAAATGATTGAGCTTATATAGAGCTCATACATGTTCTTACAAAGC